AGAAGATAAGAGGGTAGGGACGAGCAAGGCGGCAAGAGAAAGCAGATCGTGTGTTGCGGCTCTAGATGGCATAATATGTCTCAACATCATCCTGTTTTACTCACTCACTCTTCTTTGCTCTGTTTGACAGCCTTGAATGAAACTTACTGGAAATGAATGAGTTTATAAATACCTATCGATGTTATTACAATATCTTAAAATCCATAAAAGCCTTTCCTAGGGCAAGAATGTCTTTAGTGGTTTTGTTTACAGTGTAAAGTTGCCTAACAAGCTTCTTAGACAATCCACAGGTAAGTTCAGAGTACATCCTTTTCTTTTGCTGTACAGTATGCAAAGTTGAGTATGAACCAAAATGTATGATTAATATCTTTCTATTTCAAAATAATGACTCAGAAAGCCAGTTGGCAATTGTTCTCATTTTGTTTTTTGTCTTAAGCAACTGCAGTTAGTATGTCTTGTGCCATTAAGTAAAGTAATAGAAATAAAGTTATTAAATAAAGCTAGTTCATCATTTTAGCAGGTTTATCCTTTTTTCAAAACCTCAGATAAAAGTTTGAGAACAAACAAAAGTCACATTCATTTGAAACTATTTGGAAATGCAATCTGGGAAAACAGATTCACTCAGATTCTGAGAATGTATTAGATGGCTGAATAGAGGAGCTCACCTGTCTTCCAAGATGAGGCAGGAAGACATCAAGTTCAAACACAGCCTGGGAATTCATAGTGAGACTCTCTCAAAAACTGCTCTGAAATGAGTGGGACATTTATTAATAAGAAATCATTCTTAGCGCTGGCAGAAATTACATTGCTTTGTCTGAACTGGACCCAGTGTGGTCTCAGGTTCTGGATAATTTGGGCAAGAGAACTCATAAGGAAGACAGTCCGTCTGAGATCACCTGCCTGCTCATCAATTCAAAGGGTGGGCTGCAGAGATGTCTGAGATCTGATTGACAATGGCCTTCCCACTCTTTCCTAAGTGGCCAAGCCAATGCTACTCTCTTGTTTTCTTGATGCCTTGAAGCATCGATCTCACGAGCATGACTGCCTAGGGAGAGCAGTTCTTTGAGTGGCCCAGGGTGGACTCTAGTTCATCTCGGTCTCTATTACGTGAGCTGCACACAGCTCCTGGCTCATAGTGCACAAAGCTCAGGAACCTTGCAGGAGTGGGGCAGCAGGCATAAGCGGAGGGAGAGGCCTGAAGAGAACTGATGGCCAGTCACCCTGAACTGGGGGGCGGGGGGCGGGGGCGGGGGGGAAGGAGAGAGGAGCTCTGTCTGCCTTCCGCCCAGGATGGTGTAGAGAGCAGCAGAGACTGACTCTGGGGCCACCACAGTGGGACTGGTAAGGCTTCCTACCTTGTCTTCCTCAGCTCTGTGGCTGACGAAATTATTTTAGTCTTTGCTTTCCGAGCATTCTCACCACCTAAAGCAACATCTGAGGAAACCTCAAGATTAATCTGCCTGTGCTTTGCAACCCTAAGGAAGCAAGTAGCATAGATATTTTGCATAGGATTAAAACAAACAACAAAAGACTGTGATAAGCAGCTGAGGTTGCATCCCGGCGACTAGAAGGCTTGCCTCTCATGCTCGAAACCCTGGGTTCAATCCTCAACTGTCTAAACCAAGCACAGGGACACACAATGTCAGAGACTCAAGGTCATGCTTGGCTACTCAAGACCCTCCCTCAAAATGAAATAATGGCGGGGGTGTGCTGCAGAGATGTCCCATCAATTAGGAGCAACTGCTGCTCTTTCAAAGGAGTGGAGTTTGGTTCTCAGGGCCCACAGAAGGCTTCTCACAGCCAAGTACCCACTACTTCTGACCTCTGAGGGCAACTGCACTCATGTACAACATAACCACACTCAGACACATGCATACACAGAATTAAAAATAACATTATCATTAATAATAGACAATTAAATAAAATAATTAAAAATAAATATTTTTAAAAGATAGTTCCTTGGGCTGAGACCTGAAGTAAAAATGGAAAATCCAAAGAAATAACTTGTTAATACTGACACAGCTACATAAATTGCTCTCTTTCCTGTTGCTGGTTATTAATGCCCTGCTTTCTGGCTTTTCTATTTCTGTTCTATATAGCAGCCACTGTTTTTGAGCCAAACCAGCAGATCCCAGCAGTACCTCTCTCCCTTGCCTGACTCAGCTTGGAGAGCTGAAACTAATCGGTTTAAGGTTTTCTGTTGTTATTTTTGGATGTTTGTTTGTTTGTTTGTTTACCTTTTGAGACAAAACTTTCTTATGAACTCTGGCTGGCCTGAAACTCGCTGAGTAGACCAGGCTGGCCTTGAACTGGCAGCTGCAGTCCCATCTCAGCCTCCTGAATTCTGGGATTGTAGAGACACAGCATCACCCTAGACTTGAAGCTGACTTTTGATTTTCTATCCTCCCCTGTTGACTTGCGAAGTCTTCTGGTGCATTTGTCTCCAGCTTCTGACTCCTGCTTGAACTGCCCAGAGACACAGCAGCTATTCAGAAACAACAAAAAGCAAAAACTAAAAAGGTTAAGTAGTCATTATGCTTGATATTCTCTTAAATATTTTAAATAGTAACTTAATATATAACTTAATATTTTGCCAGAAATAAGTTTAAAGAATTATTAATTCAGCAAGGATTTATGACATTCTATTAATACAAAGTTAAAAAACTATTTCTAAAATTTAAATTTATTTTTAAATAACATTTAAGTTAATTTCAGCTTAAGACATTTTCTAAAACATCTTTTTAGTAAAAGGAAATCAGCTACAATAAATATCCATGCACACAGTGGGTTTTTTATTGTTATTATGTGTGTGCATGTTTGTGTGTGTGCGTGGGCACATGTATGGCCACAGAACGACCTTTAGAAGTCAGTTTTCTCCTTCCTCCATGTGGGTCCTGGGTGTGACCCCAAGTCATTTCACCAGCTCCTATTTAAGCACATATTTTGTGTAAACTTGTGTTTTCAATACTCTTAGCTAGACAGCCAATATTGGAGTTGCAAAGTATTAAGTCTACATTTTTGTGTTTAAATTTATTTTATTATATATGTTCATACATATATACTTTTTATGATACTTATTGTGTACATGTACACTGTGTGTGTGTGTGTGTGTTGTACACAGTGTCAATGTGAAAACCAGAGGACAGTCTGCTAGAGCTGTTTCTCTCCTTCTGTTGTGTGGGTCCTGGGACCCAAACTCATGGCACTGGACCTGGTACTGGCAGCAAGGACTCTTACCAGCTGAGCCATTTCTCACCCCAGAAGTCCATGCTTGTTGTTATGAGAAAAAGGCCAATTCACTTCCAAAGTGATCTCATGCACCTGTTTCTCCTTTAACTATGAATGAGTAAAGATTCTCTCTGTTGCACATTCTTCCCAGCCCTTACTGTTGACTGCATCTCTCAATCCATTTCCCTCCCACCTCCTCTCTTCCCCCTTCCTAACTATAGAAACAGTGTGACCAACCATCTCCCACTCTTACCACCAGGCTTCTCAGAGGGACTTTGCCCTCAACCTATAATCAAAATAAGCATTTCCTTCCCAAGGCTGCTTCTCGTCAGGTAAAGCTAATCCATATATTCATTTATATATATATATATTCCTTTTATAACAATGTCTCATAAATTTTGTCCAGTTTTACTTTTTATCTTTTAATGGTGGATACTTATATTTTTAAATAGTCTAGATACAAGTCAGATATATTGCAAACAATTCTTTCAAACCCTAGGTTAATTTTTCTTCGTTTTCTTTCCTATTTTTTTTCTTTCAGAAAGGTCTCATTGTGTAACCCAGGATACCTGCAACACCTGGGGATCCTCATGCCTCAGCCTCCAAATGCTGGATTACAGAGGAACTGTTTGCCTGGCTCTCACTTTCCTCAGAGTATACTCAACTTTTACCTTCCCTGATCACCAGCAATCACTGCGTGAATTCCAGTAGTAGAGGAGTCCTCATTTAAGAGGAATCTGTTCTGTCTGACCCATTCATGTATGTCACTTGTGTATGATGCTGTCACTAGCAAGGTTTGCTAAGGCAAGATCATAGACATTCACATCCATGTTTACTCCTGAGTTGTAGTGTTTTAATTGTATTTTTGTCTATGGATCATTCTGAACTAATTCCTGCAGGTGATATACTGAGTCCCACCTCATCCTTTGGCAGAGTACCATTGTCCCAGCACCATTTGTTGGAGAGACTTCCCATTCTTCCCGTTTCATTACTTGCACACCTTTGATGACAGTCCGTCGATGAAGCTGGAGGCAGCATGCGTGTGGTGGGATGCTTGCCTTTATGCTCAAGACCCTGGGTTCAGTCCCAGCCCGCCAAAAAAACTCATCAAAACTACAAAAGGTTATTTGTGGACTCTCAACTCTGGTCAATATGTATGTCCGTATGCTAGAAGCAACCATCGTGACTGCAGTTACCCTGACGCACACTTTGAGGCTGGTTTCTATGAGCCCTCCGTTTGTTCCCCCTTTCCAGATTGTCAGAGTTATTCTGGGTGTCTCAGATTTGCATATGAATTTAAGGATCAGCCTGCCAATTTCTGCAAAAAGGCTGCTGGGATTTTGATAGAGACTGTGTTGAAACTGTAGACGATTGTTAACTACTGCCATATTGTCTTCCTACTGTGAGTGCAAGAAGTTCTTCCATTTGCTTAATCTTTTCAGTGATGTTTTATACTCTTCAATGTATAAAGGTTTGTCACTTGTTAAATTTATTCCTGTCATTCTCTTTCACATTATTATAGGGAAATTGTTTTCATAATTGTATTTTTTGTATTGTTTGTCACTAGCATATAGAAATAGAAATGATTTTTTTTAGAACCACTGAGATGTTCCAACAGGTAAAGATACCTGTTATGAGAGCCTGGAGACCTGAGTGGGAGCCCTGGAACTCACATAAATATGGAAAGAGAGAACCAAGCCCACAAAGTTATCTTCTGACCTCCATATACACACAAAAGTGATTTTTTTATTGTTAAAGAATTGATTTTTCCTTTCTTTTTGAAGAGTACAAAAAGCTTGCCCCAGAGCTATCCATCTCAGAACAGTCTGGGTCAGTTTTGACCTACAATATGTATGTCATCACCTCTCAAAGCATGGAGTAATACATGGGAAATGTTCATTTATCTGGTAACTCCGGTTATAAGAAACATTAAGACAGGGTTTAACTTCCACTGGTATTGCCAGGGACGTCCCAACACCAGTCTGCATGTGGCCAAGGCCCTGAACACTAGTTTGGAAGCCTGTAGGACAAGTCTGAAGAGTGTAAGATGAGGTGTGTGTGGTAGACGCAATCTGCGGACGACTTGGCTGTTCTGACACGGGGTGTCGATACTGCATCGAGGTCTGATGAAGATAGTGAGGTTGCTGGAAGTGAGCTGGCCGTGAGGGCTGAGCTGTCTGGAGCACACCTAGCTGTGCGGACTGAGGAGCTGACTGTCCCCTCTGCTTGTTCGCTTCTTTCACATCATTGTCATGAGCAACTAATAGTCGTTCAATACACTGCACTAAGAAATCCCAGGAGTAAGCAGTAAGACGATGCAGTCTCGTAGGCCATGTTGGAGAAAGACGAAGGATAATCCTTGAAGAAGCCACACATGCAGCAGCTACTTGCAGAGATACTTCCAAGAAGTAATCTGCATATTTGGCCATGTAGAGTTTAGTCTTTTCCAAACAAACCATTGGCCAGCCGTCATGCAGGTCTGTCTCATGTACTGCTTCAGAGAGGTAATACTCAATGAAATGGGCAGCTGTGGGAAGGCAGAGGTTCCACTGAAAGGTCTCTAACAGTAACAGTTCCATATGCAGCAAATTCTGCTTTGTCAGCACTAGATTCATGTTAGTCATACAGCCCAGGCTGTTGAGCAAGTCAGGCTAAGCTAGCAGGGGCACTGATTAAAATTTCAGTAGCCATCTTCATTACAATGGTTATACAACTGCCCTAGGACAATTTATTGGTAGCGAGTGAAAACAGCAATAATAGTCATTATAGTAAGGGCAACCTGGCCATAAAATATTGGGAGGGGGGTAAATTTAAAAAGTAAAAGGAGAACTGATAAACTGTATACATTGTGCTCTTATCTGTGGAAGAAGAAAGATTTGGTGGAGGGAAACTTTGTGGTTTAAAAGTAGTAAGATGTGTCTATGTTTTTATAAGGTAGCACTTGACTAGAAAGGAAACTGGCAGATGTGGCTACCACAGAGTGTTGTTGAGAACTCACTATAAAGATGTGGGTATGCAGCAGGAGTCGTGGTAATCAACCAATGGCCTTTATTGGGAAGGGAAGGGCTCCAGGCATGATGGGCTGATAGAGCAGCTCCAGGGGGGAGTGCAGGTGGTAGCTTCTGCCAGCAGGAATTCTTAGAGAAATGTTCCTTCCTTAGAAGGAAACTAACTTTGGTATTTAGAATGCAGAGCTCAAAGTGTGGACTTACTAGTCTGGTGATGAAAGGCCACTCAGGTAAGAACACTCAGTCCAGTTTTCAAGCAGGAAAACGGTGCTATCACTTTTCCTCTTTAAAAAGGCTGCTAATTGGATTTTATAATTCTTACCTTAAGAAAACTTGAATTATTAGGAGAAAGTAGGTTCAAAAGATGTGTCTTTCACATTCACAGTGCCCAGCAACATGGAAACCAGTTTTCAGTATTGTAACTACCTCAGTAATGCTATGAATGTAAGCTATTGGGATAGAAATCCTAACTTGAAACAACAGCCAGTGCCTGTGGTAATTTAATGTCTTGTCAAATGCTTTTATTGGTTGGTTCTGTGTCATTCTTGTTGTCAGAATATTTGCCTTTTTAAAAAGCTTATTAACACTTTTTCCAGTTTATATTTAAAAAGCTAAAGAACACTGGATTGATTCTTTTGGGGGTGGGTAGAGTCCAATAGTTGATGACTATTGCTGCATACCCAGGTGGGGAGGCTGGGGAATCATGACTATTTTAACAACATTGGAATGCATTATAGATGTAACTCAACAGCAGTTAGCTTGGGGTTGGGGGGACTGTGTGGGTTTTGTTTTGTTTTGTTTAATTTATTAATTAGTCTTAAAAGGTTTGTTTTGTTTTGAGATTACTGGACCATCATTAAATATGTACTGTGAAAAGGTTAATGATGTGTAAAAAGGACTTAACCAGAGTTCCTTAAATAAACACTATTCAAGTACAAACTAAAAAAAAAAAAGAATTGATTTTTATATATTGAACTTTTATCCTGTAACCATACTAACTGTATTTACTGGTATAAATGTGGTGTCTATGGAAGGATTCCTTAGATCATGTCACCTGTAATCAAAACATTTTTACTTCTTTACAACCAAGATGACTTCTACTTCTTTTTCTGTTCCAAATGCCCTAGCTAATACCACCTGCACATTGTTGAATGGATATAGCAAGTGCAAGTGTCCTCAAAGCATTCTTGATGTTTACTAGGGAAACTAGAGAACTCCCAACCTTCATCATTAACTCAGATGCTGATTATACAACTTTTCTAAGTATCCAATAGCAGACAGTGTGTTCCATTCTATTCTTAACATGCTTAATGATTTATAACAAGAAAAGTATTGTATTTGGTCAAGTACCTTTTTCTAATTAATAAAATTATCATCTGTTTTGTCCTTTATTCTAGCTAAGGGTTGTACTAATCTTGATTGATTTTTATGTGTTGGAACAACTTTTCGCCCCTCAGATACATGCCTTTTGCATAAGTTGTTGAATTCAGTTTGATGGCTTTTAATTTTCTTTTTTGATACAGTCTTATTCTGTAGTGCAGGCTTACCTGAGATTCACTATATAATCCAAGCTAATTTCAAACTCAAATACTGCTTTGACCTCCCAAACACTGGCATTACAAATACAAGCCATCATGACTAGCAACTTTATAACTTTTGGTCAAAGAAATTTATAAATACTACAAAGGATAATGGTCATAGGAGATACAGAAGCATACAGTTAAGTCATTTCCAAAGTTTACTTTTCTCCTATTTTTTCTTGGCTTTAGCACTAAAGTTTGTTTACTTTTTGAGAATTGTTTCTTCTTTCTCTGTTCTATTTGCTCTTTGTGTTGTTTTTTATTTTTTAGGTTGGTTTTATGAAGGCTAGTGTGCCTGTTTTTAATTCCTATATTCATTTTAAGTGTATTAATATTTGATCCTAAAGAAGATTGCTCAGTGGTTAGGAATGATGGCTGTTCTTCTTGGGGACCAGGTTTGATTCCTAACACCTATGTGGCTGTAACTCCAGTTCCATGGGATCTGATGATCTCTTCTGGCCTCCATGGGCACCAGGCATACATGTAGGACACAGACGTACATGCAGGAAAAACACCCATGCACATAAAATTAAAAATTAATTTTAAATGTCCTATTATATTAATCTTTTAGACTTGTTGAAGCTTGAGTTTTACATAATTTTATGAACAATGTCATAGAACACTGTGGGGGTTTGAATGAGCATGGCCCCCATAGGCCCTTCTGTTTGAATGCTTGGTCTTTAGTTGATAGAACTGTTCTGGAAAGGATTATTAGTGTGGTCTTGTTGGGAAAGGTGTGTCACTGAGGTGTACTTTCAAGTTTCAAAAGCCCAAAACAGTCCAGTCCCCCACACACACCTCCTCCCTGCCTGCTGCTTATGGATAACATCTAAGCTCCCAGCTACTGCTCCAGAATCATGGCTGATTGCTGCCATGCTACCCACTGTAATGGTCATGAACTCACCCCCTGAATTGTAAGTCCCTGTATTAGTTAGGTTTCACTAGAGCAAGGTTCTCAACCTTCCTAATGCTGACACACTTAATATAGTTCCTAATGTTGGTGACCCCCAACCATAAAATTATTTCCAATACTGCTACACAACTGTACTTTTGCTACCGTTCTGAATTGTAATGTAAATATCTGACATGCAGATGGTCTTAGGCAACCCCTGTGAAAGTGTTATTTGACCCCTTTGTCTTGACCCACAGGTTAGGAATGGCTGTTCCTGAAGACCATAACTGATAGAATGAATCCAAACATATATGGAAAGGGAATTTATTAGAATAGTGAATAGGCTGTAGCCCAGTTATTCCAACAATGTCTGTCTGCCAATAGAAGATCCAAGAATCCCACAGTTGTCCATTCCAAGAGGCTGGATGTCTGCGCTGATCTTTGGTGTATTCTGAAATCTCAAAGATGTAAGCACTAATGCCAGTGAATGAATCAACTTACCACCAAACAAAACCTCACAGGTATACCTAGCTGCTTGGGTTTTACTTAATACCAGATATAGACAAGTTGACAATCAAGAATAGCCATCACAGACCCCCGTTAGAAGTTTTTAGGAGTTGTCTAGATCATGGTGTCTTTAAAAGGCAATAGAGAAGTAACTGAGGCAAACACTTTGAAGAACAAAAATCTATTTTCACCAATCCGGCAAATATCCACTGTGGTAAATGTCCTTTACCTGTAAACCATCCCTCCACTTACATGACTCTTTTCCTCTCCCCATTACGCCCATATTCTGGAGCCACGACTTCTAAAACCAGGACTGCTTTTGGTTAACTATGCCTGTCACAGCTCCCTGCTTCTCTTCAACTGTGCAAACACTAGGTTAACAAGCATCTGTTCCACAGTAAAGGCCAATCCCTTCTCTTGTATCATCTTATAGTCTGTCTTACTTTCTTTATTATTTCAGTAAGTATTAAGAAAATATGAGACAGCCAAGCATTGGGTCAAGCTCAGGGAATCCCGCTGAGGAGAGGAAGTACTGTATGAGAAAACACTGGACCAAAACGAGACCAAAAGCTATCTGGGAAACTTCAAGCTCTGCATCTCCACATCCGATATCAAAGTGTCCTTCAGGTCTCCAATTCCTTTCGGCTTTATTGACTGCAATACACTTCTTTTTTCTTGGGATATTTCCACTCCTTGTTACATGACTCTGGCATCTCTAATATCTCGGGGTGTTCAAGGCAAATCCAGACTTCATATTCATATTTCATTCAATATCCTCTCTAGATCTCCATGCAGGGACAACCTACCTTGAATATGCCTAGCCTCATGGCTTTCCTTAGTCGTGGAGAAAGATTATATAAACCCTTTTTTTTGTATCCTTGACTATGGTCAAAGCTGCCAAGTTATGTTTACTGGGGCTAGACCGTGGCCACCTTGTTCAATTACATCTTCACCAGCTTTTTTGTTTGTTTGTTTTTGATGGTTTCCGTCACTGCCCATGCTTGCCTGTGCTGGAACTCTCTCTGTAGCCCAAGCTGGCCTCATAATTAGAGGTCTGCCAGCCTCTGTCTTTTGAGTGTTAGGATTAATTATGTGCACCACCATGCCTGGCCCTAAGCTTTTCTTTAATTCCTTTTTACAAATTGGAAATTTAGCTGTGTAGGGTCTTGCTCTGAGGTCATTACTCTCTTTATTCTACTTGGCATCAGGTTTTTATTTAATCTGTTTACACTTCCTGGTGTTCTTTTTCTTCTCCAAATGCACATTTTGCAATTTTCCTTGTTCAGCTTGTTCCTTTTAATTAGAGATCTGTATAAGTCTGGCCACTAATAACCACACAACACAGTCAATGCTGGATTGTTTGGAAATGTCCTCTGCCAAAGCTGTTAATCCATAATCTTCAATTAGGCCTTGGGCAAGTGTTTTAGACAAGGGCACCAAAATATCATAAGAGCAGCCTCTAAGCCACATACTAATATTCTTCTCCTCTGAAACGTTTTGAGCCAGGCTCCCAAAATTCACATCACCCTCAGTACCTTTGTCTTCCATGTTCTTACTAGATGGCCCATTAAATCTCACTAAAAATGTCCAAAGCTTTTCTAATCAAAAGTCCCAAAGTTCGCATTCCTCTAAACAAAAGCATGGTCTAGCC